TCCCACACAACATTCATTCTTACAAAAAAAAACCCCAAAACCTTCTGATTCACAACGTCGGAAAAAACATCTGCGTTAAGCGGACAGCGATGGGCAAACCTGTAATGCCCGTCCAAACGCCCCAACGCCACTGTCTGAATTAAACCACGCAGAGATACCAACAAAACTCAGCAAAGGAAGCTATAGGTTTCCTCCTGTTTAAAAATACCTTGTTTTGCTTTCTGCCAAGGGAGGTGAGAGCGGGCCTCCGAGCTGGGCATGGGCCGCTTCAGCAGCACATGGGAGTAACCCCACCTGCTGCTGCTCTGTTTGCAGCCCCGACGCACGTTCTGCTCATGCTTAGTAATTGATAGCTCCCTCTGCAACTCAGACGGGCTTAGGAGGGAAGACAGGTAAGTTCGGATGATCTGCCGCACAAACAAGGGGCTAGTGTGAGCAATTCGGGGTTTGTCAGCGCAGGCGATGGTCTGTAACAGGCTAAACAGTGCAGAGTTTTGGGCTTCTACTAAGTGAGTAGCTGCAATAGTACCCGTCCCACCACATTTCATCTCATTTCGTTAGATATTAAAGCTACAACATTGCCAGTCTGCTAAGAGTAAAGTGCTAGCTGCTGAAAAACAGCTTTTCTTAAAAACCAAACTTCCCCCCCCCCTTTTCTTCTTAGAGCACATTCGTAGGTTTCTTGCCAGCCCTGTGGAGGAAGGTTCCAGGAACTTGTGTACTTCCTATTAAGAAACATATTTTTCTTACCCCTTGATTCAGCTTCTTTAGTTCTTCTGAAAGCGTGTATACGACTGGGGCCCTGCCGATCCGAGTTCAGCCCAGTGAAACAGAAATACCTTTAAATTAATATGAGTAAAGTCAGTGTCGTATTTTCTACTCAGAAATACATCTTCTCTAAACCACTGGCACAAGGTCAGTCGAAAACATTGGTGAAGCTGAAGTTTTTGTGACAGCTGTCATGCTGCTTACTGCACGTGGTTAAGTGCATCATGTAGGATGATGATAAAAGGTACTGACAACTCCTTAATAAATGAAGTCTGATGGCCAGAAGTTGACATGAAGCATCCTTATGTATGTGGGCAACTTAAGTTTTTCAGAGAGACTGTTTGTCTGAAACAAGTCATTTAAATGTCAAATACGTTCAATTTTCAAGTTGATTAGCATTTTGTTTATTCTTCTAAATATCCGTATTAAGAACTTCACTAATGATTTCATCATTTACCAGTTGCTCTTTTAAATAAGGTTTCGTCCAATCTTATGAACACTAAGCAATGCAGCCACAACTGTTGTTTTAATTGTTGTATGATAAACCACAGCTAGCTTAGCTTATCAAGATTAGAATATACAATGGCATAAATCATAGTCTGCAAATCAGTAGTTAATGCTCTGGAAAAACCAGATAACCTTTTGGGTGCTTATGCCTTTCTTCAGGCCCAAAATGAGAAGAGCAAACTTCACATGTAATTCTCAGCTTGTACCGATGCCTCCAGTTTTTAACTAGATATTGAGAACACTGGAAGAACCTACAGTTGGTACCTGACTAACAACAGAGAAATGAGAGAGATGAGAGAGAGCATGGGAAGTAAGATAATTATCTTTCAAAAAGGAAAGACCAAGGCAGAAAAAGTGTGGTTTGGGGAAAAAAAAAATGCAAGGCCAAACATAAAGCAAATTTCTGCCCCATACATATTTTCTAAAATTCAGAATTAAGGATTCAACTCACATGTTTGCCTTTGGAAGACATCTTCCCTTGAGGATGAGTGCTGAAGACTCAGAGGTGGTAGATGTTTTTCCAGAATCATTCCTTATCTGGTAATAGTGTGGGTTTGTCCTTCATTAATGGGTTTATTCTGACACAGTAACACGCAATTTCCATGACAGTTTTTGGTAAAGTGGATGAAGCATATCACTCCCTCTTACTACCTCTACCCACAAGTGTTGTCTGGGTTATGACTTCAGACCGGACCATCGCAGTGACCACAAAATCATGAGACATTTGTGCAAACAGAGTCACACTCTTTGGACTGAAGTCTATCAAATACCATTTAAGAAAGAATTTCTATTACTACGAAAGCAATTTTATTGACGAGAAATCACTGATGAGATTTTAATTCTGGCTATCTTCCTAGTCACATTTTATCAGTTGACATTTGGATCAGTTTTATGCCTTTGATTTTTTTCCAGCAACGGAAAAGAGCATATGGGATTTTAATGACACATTTTATCAGTGTAGATAAAATGCATAGTTGGTAGCCCTTCTTCCTTCTCACAACTGGATAATTTTAGCAAGCGGTAGACAGCTGACCTTTGTGGTACAGGCCAGATGCAATTTGCAGACAGATATAGGTTTTAAAAGAATATCTTGGCTTCCCTCACAGTGAAATCCTGTGACTGACTGATAATCAAGAACAAAATGTGATCAAGAACAGTTAGCTGGCTGCTGATAAATCTACTTTGCTGCAGGGCACACACGTAAGTAAGCGCACACCATTTAGTTAGAGGGAGAAATTAAGGTTTTTTTTCAAGCAGTCAGATTTCTCTACTACCATAGATAATCATCCAACTAAGTTTCTGAAGACTGGAAGAGAGCCCAAAACTGCTTAATCCAGGAATAAAGATTTTTACCGGTAGTTTTAGATGATAAAAACCTTAAATAATATCACAAAATAATCACAACCTTACACTCTCCACATAGTTCCTGTAAAAATCTCCTTAGGTAATTTGTCATTTGAAAGTAATTTTCAAAGGTATCTGTTTTCAAAGTTGTAATCTGTTCTATTTCTACTTCAATAGGAGCATCAAATTGAAAAACTTCATTTATTAAAATAACTCACAGATGATGCCTGTAGACAGGAAAGGAGGGAAGAAATTCTTTGTTTCTAGCTCTGGCATCTTGACAATTCTCCTATGGATTTAATCTTTATATCATTTAATAAGATTCAGAAGCCCAGATTTTAATTAGGGCTGATTAATGGTCTGACCTGAGGAGAAAAGAAAAAAAAAAAGCAGAGTCCCCTGAGAAGCAGAATGTATTACCTTTAGCAGGTGTCTTGTGATATTCTCAGTAGGTTAAACACCGAGCACTAAGGGATTGTTGTCTAGACTTATGCCTTGGAGCCTGCTGGATTTGAGAAACCTGTTAAGATAATGCTTTTCAGGTGTGACACTCCTTCAGCGAGCTTCAGACCCACAGTAACAGGTTCCAGAAGCAATCTCATGATTGTGAGCAGCTGTTAGAATATGCAAACTGACAGTCTTAGTGGTATATATTTTACTCTGAAAAGGAAATTTACAAAGCAACCTGCTACTCCCAGTTTACATAACAAGTACAATTGGCTCATTTATTTATTTATGATGTTTTGGGTGGGTTTTTTTCTGCATAATGTCACTTTTTATACAGAGTAATGAGACAGTACCACTCTTAGTTTTGATTTGTGGCATTCAGTATCAAAAGTATACTTGTAACATTTTAAAAGTCACATTTACAAAATTGGCACATGGACTGGGAAAGATTTATTAAAGCTTTAGCCATAACATCTAAAGAGTGTCTAGAAAAATACCATGTTAATTTTAAAAGAAGCAGTACAAAGTTTTATTATACAGTACAAAGTCAGTGTTAGAGGTCTCTAAAGATGATACTGTATTATAAATAATCATTTTAATTTCAGTTTAAAATGTATTACGTTAATTCCAGCAGAAATGTCCAGAAAGACCTCATCCTTCTTCCAAGCTTATATCAAGAGTATAATCCTCCAGATATTTCATACTACAGAATTCATTTTAACAAAATATTTACTGCAAAGTTCGTGATCGCCAAGATATAAAGCTAAAATACGTGTTTCCAGCATAGCAGGAGGTAACCACGAAGGCAAAGAACTGTAGAGAGAGGGGAAAAAAAAATAATATTAGGAAAAAGAAAATATTTGAGAGCACTGTCACTTCTATGACAGTGACGGCTATAGGACTTGGAAAAAGGAGAAATAGCAGGCTGACTAAAATGGCACTCTTCCACCTCCTCGTACTTGTGTGGCCATCGCAGTCACCACTGCATAAGCGAGCTTATATTATGCATAGAAATACGGGACTAGCAGACAAAACATGGCATATTTCAACTCCTATCTCCACATTACACTGCCTCAATATGGATCTTACAGACTGGACTCCCACCAATCCTATGCTTGCTGGTTGTAACATCAGGTAAAGCCTGAGGGATAGCCCACGGGACAGCGTGAGCTCAAGCTGACACTCCTGCACTGTTTCTGTGTTCTAGGAATTGCCCACAGCCCACCTGAACCTCCGTATGGCACACTGTGTGTCGAAACAGCTTGTTTGGAAAGAAAACTTGGATTCAAATGCAGGCCCAGACATGTTCTCAAACAGCAGTGCCGGTGAGGTTAAGAACTCCAGAGGTTCTCTACTGATGAGTAAAGGTATTCCTCAGCACAAGTACCAGTGTCCACATCAGGCCGAGATATCACTACTTTGTCAGAAACCGGTTACAGAGTAAGCCCTCTGTGGCAGGCTAGATTTATGTTTAAAACTACACAGTATCAGCGGTGTTGCTTCTGCAGTCCTTGCAGGATATCCACCCAGAAACCAAAGGACAGCTGTGAACTATTTCAGTTGTACCGATGAAGTCCAATTCAGTGCCAGCGGTTAAGTTCCCATTAATCACCGCATGTTGTTCAAAATAGACGACATTCAAAATGGTCTTGCGATAAGACTAGAATGTTTTGTGCTCCCAACTGAACTAAATAAAGCTGGTACTGCAAATAGGATTAACACTACCTTTCCTTGGAGGTGAGCAGTGATAGGACAAGAGGGAACAAATGCATGTTACAAGCAGGGAAATTTCAATTAGATACTAGGGGGGAGAAAAAAAAGGACAATGAGAGTAATCAGACATGGTAACAGGCCCAGAGGCATTGCGGAATAGCCATCCTTGGAAATACTAAAACCCCCAAGTGGACAAGGCCCTGTAGCCTGACGGGACTTAGCCCTGCTTTAAGGGGGGAGAGAGTTGGACCAGATGACCTCCAAAGGTCCTTTCCTGCCTAAAAACATTTTAGGATTCTACCAATGTTTCTTGCTTATCAATGGCCTTGGTAGGCACTGCAGCTCCAAGACCAGGGCACTACTACGCATGCACACAGGCAGTAAATCTAAGCCCTCCAACAAAGGGCTCTTGGTGACTATTGTCTAATGTAAATTTAACCTGTGGCATCAAAAACTGTAGATGATGATGTAAAATGTTATTACAATAGAAAAATCTTATCATTCTTCTTTTCCAATAATTTTGTTTCTATGAAATAAAGGCTCCATCTAAAAATCTAACAGAATGACTGTTGGGGGATAAATGATTTGCTAAGTTCTCACAAACATCCATCCATGAAACCCTTAATGGGTTCAGAAAGTAAGAATCTACATTTAATAGTTTATTTAGACAGTGCATTAGATACTATTAGGAGGTATTAGAAGAGATTCCAAACATCCCATGAGACAATGAGCATTCATGCATGTTGTATAAAACCCAAATCAGCACGGAAGCCTATCTAGCAGCAAGCAAGTTCCTGACAACAGCAGTGGCTGGGTAACAGATCAGTGGTTACAAACTGCCAAGGGGACAAGACCCTGAATGCCACTGAAGTGACAGGGACAGAGTTATACAATTCCCAAGACAAAACCAGCAGATGCTTGAGTCTCTGTTCAAGGCTATACACAATAAGCTTTGGGCAGAAGGCAGGAGTTGTGAATAGTCCAGAGAGGACAACTGCAGAACCACGGTCAGCAAAGTAGCTGTAATTTGGAACTACTCTATACAATTGAATTTGACTCCTGTTGCATCAACATGCAAAAAGACAACTCCCTTAACTTAGCTAGAGAATATGGGATGTATCATGCCTTTTCTGATGTGACTGTCATATCTCCCAGTGGAATTTCTACCACCTCCAGAAACGGTGAACTAAATTACAGCTACCTATAGGTTTTGTGCATAGGCTTCTATATCAGTCTGCAGTTTTTCAAAATCCAAAACGCACGCTTTTCAACCCGCGCTTCCAGCAAGCCTTCTTTTGATATAACTTTACTGGACACAGAACTGATTTAAACAAAAAATGAACTCACTGAAGAAGCTGCCCAGCTGTTGTAATTGTGACTGTCCAGTTCTTGGGTAACTGAAGACGCATCTACAATGGCAGCAATGAGGTACAAAATGAAAGCACTTCCATTAAAAAACAGACCCTGTTGAAAAACCAAGAATAAAAGTAATTAATATGCACATGCATTTGTTACCTTTTTCTATTCCAACATTACAAAACTCTCCTCTGATATATAATGTACACATGCAATGTACACAAGAAATGTGGTGAGTATTTTGACCTTCTTCCAAGTTTCTACCTGTAAGATTAAAATTTATCTGCTTATTTTGAAGATCATAAATCCACAAGAGTCTTAAAGCTGGTATACTGTGATTTTCCAAAGGTGAAAATAGGGACACAGTTTGGCTATGACGATCAAAGTGTTAGGCAGTAAGAATATGACACTAACTGGAAAAAAAATGAAACAAAACTGCAATGGTTTACATGTCTAAATCTACACAAAGATACACTGTAGGTATCAATAACTCGTGGCTTATGAAGAATATTTATAAAGTTTCCAAATTTTGCTTTCTCCACTTCTGAAGGAGATAGAGGGTGTGATTTTTTTCAGTTGTATGCTTCCACCTTTCAGTACCTTTCTCTTCTGCCTGTTTTTGAGAGGAGAAAGAAACAGAGAAAACCAAGAAGTAGAAGAGTCTGAATGGACTACATGGTTATCAAGACCCATCCATAGCAGATGCTGCCTATTCTCTTCCAAGGAGAAAAAAGTTAATGCCTGGCCCACTGCCGCGAGCTCCCGTGACACAAAATGTGCAAAACTTTCTGAAGGGAAGCCATTCCCCAAACACGTGCTTCCTCAACTGCAGGTCCCTCCAGCAAGCAGCACACTGTGCTGTCATCTGTCACCATGTTCCATCCTTCAGGTCTGCAGTCCTTGCAGCATATCCACCCAGACTGCATACCTGAGACTTCCCATGCAAAAAGCTTTCTTACAGTCTTCAGAGCCGGCTAAAGGGCGCGCACATCCTCCTGCAGTTCCTAAGTCCTTGCAATTTCAGGGCATTTGGAAAAGAGCCACTTACCTACCTTTCTGTAGGGAACTGTGGGCAGTGCCTCAGCACTCGAGTGGAGTCCAAGGTCTGGCACTTGAGGTTTCATTCCTACACTTAAAATGTGCGGGGTTTATCGGTTTATCTCTCCTATATCAGTTTATCTAGTAAAAGGTATTATCTCCATCCACAGATCTCACCTGCTGTGTTTTATCTGGGCATTACAGTTATAAAATATCAAAACTGTCAATTTTAGGATAAGATGCCAACAATTGGCAGGTTTAGGTGAACTTCTGTAAGCAAAGCACTGATTTTCAAACTCCAAATCTGACTGCCTAGAGTATTTGTTGCTGTTATTTTTAGATTTCCTGTTCCAAAAAGGCTCAATTACCCTGGAAAGTTACAAATCCCTGCAATATCTTGTCATGTAGAAAAGAAAAAAGCACATAATTTTTGAGAAGTGCTGCTCTGGGAAATAACACTGTTGGGGAAGATAGAATGCAATGCAAGCTGATTGGGCCTTTACTGCCAATATATTACTCAAACCAAATGGTTCATGCTAAATTACCATCTGCTCCTTAAATTCAAATCTACCAGATTTTAAAAGCTTCCATTGATTGTTTTAGCAAAGAACTTGCACTATTAAGGAGAGTCAGTTTTGAAGCACATCCTTTGGGTTAATTTGCAGTAAAAGTAACTGCATCTTAAGCAATTTGGTAATGTGCTTAACCTGCAAAAAGTGGATTTATGAGAGAAGTCCAGATGTAATTTTGGATACTGCAGACAATAGGCACAGTCTGAGATAAATGTCGCCTAAGGAGGCAGAGCAGTAACTAGCAGAGACTGAATTCAGAGAACAGGGGCAAGGTGGGCATAAACTAACTGTGACACTCAAAAAGGTGTGTCACACTCTTTTGAATGAAGACATTAACAACATCTCTCTGGAAAGAGATCCAATGTTCCTCTTGGACCGCCAGGAATGGCAGAGGTCCAATTCAAAGGCAGTTCCCAACAGCTCTTCTAATATTTTAGAGCAAAACAAGCTGGAGTGCAAGCACCTTTTATTTATTTTGCATTTATTTTCTCTTCATATTACCCTTTACTATAAAAGACTACCTTTTGGACCTACATTGATGTGATCTTATCTACAAAATATTTGGAACTCAGAGCAAGAAAGAACACTCAGGATGAAGTAGAAACAAATCAAATATTCCAGCTTGTCTACTGCATAGATCAGGGGCAACTCATCTATATGCAGCTGTTGTCTGATAATAGTGTTAAGCTGATGAAAGAGGGTAACGACTAAGGCTGTATCCAAATGGATACAAAGATGTTTTCCCTTTTAATGTACTTTACTTAAATCTGATGCGACTGGAAAAAAAATCCCACACCTTTAAATATACCCAGACACATTACTGCTGTAATAGAAATAATCCAACATTTCTATAGCAGTTTTATAGCATTAATGGTAATTGCTGGTCATGAAACTTGAAAACAGAGAAGCTATCTGAACATAATCCTGGTTGTTCTTATTAGTAATTGTCGTAGCTGGCTATTTATTACAGCAGCAAACGGGAAGACGAGAAGAAAAGAGTATTCCATTTTAGTCACATACACAATATACCTGATAACAAGCTGTTTGCAACATGGAAGTAAAATATATTTTAACATAAAAGTAATAGATTTCTAGTCAATAATCTTTAGTTAGTGGAAAAAAAAAAAAAAGAATGAACGAACAACATCTCACTGTATCAGACAAATGCAAAGCCAAAATTTATAATCATTTTTGGATGGGACACAAACAGTCAGTTGGCTGAGATGACAACGAGTTTTACGATCTATTACCCTGAACACCAGCCTGTTATGAAAATCATGTTAAAAAATACATGGTTGAGAGGTACAGCCTAGCCAGGTTTGTTCAAACCACAAAAACTGGATCTGAATTTTAAGTGCCTGTGAAATTTTCCTGTAATTACATTAGCTGTTTATCTGATCTGCATTAACTCCTGTGCTAAAAGCAAAGGATTACATGGCACGTATTTTACATATATATAACACTAATTTTCAGCACCATTCTCACAGTAGGCCCTCTATGGAGTGTCAGACTGTTGCTGCCTCTGAACCACCTTTGCTTTTACTTTAGCAAGGTGAGACTCATGTTTTAAAAGCCAGGGTCCCACTTCCAATTCATGGTGTTGATTCAAGTAGGGATCTCTGCTGTTTAAGCCAAATGGCCAGGTCCGTTAGCTCAGAGCCAGCAACAGACTCATTCTTCACGGGATGTAATAATTACAGCGAGAAAGAGAGACCACTGTGCATAAGTATCAGTCATAGCAAATTATTAAAAATCAAGTCACTACATCCTCCACTGAACACAACAGTGAAACATCATAGGAAAAAAGTGTTTTAAAAGGTGTCTGGGTAGTACAAAGGTTAAACGCTGCATGTACAGAGACACACTAATTAGGGAAGAATCTGCAAAAAGCACAAGTACAGCTGGTTAACTACACTCATAGAATGCATCAACATTTTATTCGCTTCATAACTCATCAAACCTGAAACAACAAAGAATATTTACCACAGTGGTCCATGGCACCTGCGGGATTCTGGTGTAGGTCATCGTCATGTAGATAATCAGGAAGAAGATGGTGAGAACCCAGTAAAACACAGCTACAAACATCACCCAGCCAAAGGCTGGATAGAGAAAGTATTCTGTTCCAGCAATCAGGGTCCACACCAGCAGCCCCAATACCTGCAAGAGTTATGGAGAAGAAATAAAGAAAACTGTTAACACAGACTCAGAGCTCATACATCTGTTCTAGGTCAAGGAACGACACCACTGTCATTCACATAACCGCGTGATGAGCTGAGTTGGGATGCTACACCACCAGAATGCAATCTAATAAAAAAGAACAACATATGAAACTGGTTTTGAGGTGGCAGGGTGTCACAAAGGGAAAAGCAGAATAAGGAGTCTGAGTGTTGATTTAGCTCACCTTTAACTATTATGGAGCCATACTCGCAGCTAGTTCTCAAAAGGATTACTTACTACAGCCTACTACCTTATGTGTATAACAGTAAATACTACTATTTTGCAGTCAGTGAAGTCACTTTAGAAGCAAAAGCCTGTGAAGGAGCACTGAGATCTTCAGGTCCCATCTGCCATAAGTCACAGGTAACAGAGTAGTTTGGGCCTAGTTCAAAACAGTCTACACCTGCTCTGTGGCAGGCACCATAGAAACAAACTAACTCCTGTTATAAAAGATAAAATATCAACAGCCACCACCTCTGAAACATGCTGCTGGACCAGAGCAGGTCAGGGTTGGAATGTCATTATATTCCACAGTTCCTAAAACATCTCCCAAGTGACCTGACCCTAAGCAGTAGACAAGAACTCACACTCAAGAAAAGTCCTCAAGCAAACCAGTCCGGGGAAGATTCTGAATCTGGCAACCTGTTCACATCCAAGACATGAAGAAATACATGAACCAGGGATTTTAGTACTCCTTCCAGTTTTCTCTAGCATTAGGTGATCTCCAATGCATTAAGAGGGATGAGAAGCAAACAAAACAGAAGTGAATTTGTAGGCCACAGTAAGAAAAGTCATGTGTTTCGCAAGTTGACCAGCAATTAGAAAAATATTAATTATAAAAAAATATGGGTATTTTATACCTTAAAACCAAACAAAATCACCAAAGCCCACCACACACACTTTACTGGGGCCAGATGTGGGAACTAAAATTCTTATATTTGAAACAAGGCTCATCTCCTTCTGCTACCTGGATTACGCTGAAGCTGGCTAGCAGTGAGAAACGGACAGAAGACAAAATTAAAGCAAATAGTAACACGCTTATTTAGCAGACAACAGCTGTAGCTGGACAACCTAAAGAACTTCCTACCCCAATATGCTGTTTCCAGCAGTGGTTAATAATAGACGTCTGAAGAATTATATTAATAATAGACCATGTAATAGTAATATTCCCTTGGACAGCCTTCCTCAGCTCTCAGGAATGCACAGCAGAGGGACTTGCTGAGCCTACGGTGGTATCTTTGTAATCAATAGCCCCTGACAGAAGATGACAGTTTTGCTACAGCTTCATTTTCACGAGAGCTAATCCTAGTCCCAGGCAAGTTATTGGCCACGGTCTCATTTACTTTTCTAGTGCAGAACTGAACACATAAACATTAATGGTAAACATTATATACAAGACAAAACTATATCCTTAAACCAACGGTTATTGTAATCGGTCCTGCTAACTTTCAGCAGCTACCTGGTAGGTGTTTGTTTTGTCTTCAGTTCATCCTCCAAATTGCCACCCAAACTTAATTCATCCCTCCATTTGTTGTCTTGTGTGTTCACAATATATTCCTGTATATTATTTGTACACTCATCCACATCTGCACCATGAATACACAAAAAGCATTCCACAGATGTCTCTTTCACTTTTTTTGTGTGTGTCTTGTAATAGAGAAGGCACATAATGGTCTTTTGAGAGCATCTTTTCCCCACCATTTTCACCAGTGCAGCAATTTCAAGGGAAGCCCTAGAGCTTGCTCGGACAGGGATAAAAATTCCTGCTTTCCACAGCATACCAGTGGAGGGCAGTATTGTCTCACAAGAACAGTTTCAATAGCATTAACTGAACAGTTTAAAATACACACTTAATAGAGAAGGCACATAATGGTCTTTTGAGAGCATCTTTTCCCCACCATTTTCACCAGTGCAGCAATTTCAAGGGAAGCCCTAGAGCTTGCTCGGACAGGGATAAAAATTCCTGCTTTCCACAGCATACCAGTGGAGGGCAGTATTGTCTCACAAGAACAGTTTCAATAGCATTAACTGAACAGTTTAAAATACACACTATT